AACTTTTGACCGTTGATCGATCCCGTCCGAGGGATGCGCCCCGCATTAGACTTCAATTCAGGATCATTGTGACGTACTGAGTCAGCTGATGTCCAAGTCAGTGTTTTCCCCGTTTAAGACAAGTCTGATACTAATAAACCGACCCTGGAGGGATGGAAGATTTGTTTGGGCAGGCGGATATCGCTCCTAGATTGGAACCAGTGACCAAGCGTGTGAGATAGGCGTCACTTGCCACTACATCACTTCTCTCCCAGATTTTGCATACTATGAAAAACCATTTATTGCCAGGAGTATTGGGAGCGAGTTCGTCCAACTTTATGAGTTATTCGTTGAACAACTCGATTTCGTAGTCTTCCTTTGATTTCTCAACCATCTGCTTATGGATTGCTTCGGGCATTCGATATAATGAATTTCAGTGCTTGTACCGTACTTCGATCTAGCCTTACCGGGGTCCACTGTAGCTTCTCCCTTTACACCTATTTTCTGCTTTCTCCTGAATGGTTAGTAAAAATATAAAGAGCAATAGAGTCTGTAGAAGTTGAACCTATTAGCGGTTTTATACCACGAATTACCAGTCATCTGGTGCTATTCAACGCTTCGGTACATGAAGTAGAGTGAGTGCAGCTCGACGACTTTAAGACAAGTATCCGGCCTTGAAACCCATTTTAAGTGGTTCTATGCATAACTCGTTCATTCAATCACAGCCGGAAACATAAAAATCGGAGATGACCCTTAACATATCTTATGCAAATCAACTTAGTATGGCCCTTTTCTGAAATTTTCGTGGAAGCTTAATGAACTTTTCACAAGTAATTCGGACTTCTGTGATATTTTCGCTAGATACTTTTTCATACAAAATAGTAGCATCCTTTCATTAAATTTCAGTGGAAACTTCCACAACATTTGAACGAATTTTGTGACCATTCCGCTAGATAGTTTCTGTATACCGTAATGGTTTGATAACTCTTAGATACTACTGCTATGCCTTCTCATTGAGCATTAGCTCCTACTGCTAGCTTCTCCAGGAGCTTACTTGTTTTGATAAAAAATACTCAGAATTCAGAACAGAAGCGAAAAACGTAGCGACTGTCGAAGGCTCAGCTTTTACTTTCTATTTTGGTGTCATTTCTATTGGAACTAACATTTTACATTCCATCAAACGTGGAGACAAGTGGCTCGTAACCGTTCTCCTGTTCAGGTCTGGGATGCCTCGTGGTCGCCGTGGCGATAGCGTCGCTGGTGCTTAATGTTCTTGTCTTCGTACGGTTTCTGGATGACTACCCCGGTAAAGATAAGTCAAATCCACCGAAGCTTCTGATAGTGCCAGAGCGTCCGACAATTCACAAACGGAATGTGCAACTTCCGGCAAAGTCCAGGATCATTAGCCTGGCATCAATACACGCCAACAGTTCAAAATATTGTCCCAGTTATGGAGAAGCGCTCAACACACCTGCATGGAAGGTAAGAGTATTACCACAGGTTGCCTGAAGCTAGAAAAAGATGCATAGTTAAGCAAAATGGTCAAACATTGGGTCAAAACTAAGACTGATGGAAAAAGCCTTTGAGACATGGGGGGCAGGACTTTGGCCTCGGAATGGGCCGGACCACGTGCTCGTGCTCTTCGGGCACCATGCTCTTGCAAAGAGTTTAGACCTACGATTAGTCTAACTAAGACCTTCGTGTGACATCCCAGGTGACCGACGATGGAAAAATAGGATCGAAAATAAAAACCCTCCTCCTCTTCTTTAGTTCCTAATGAGCATTTCAAGGTGAAGGGAGAGTACAAGGAGTATCGAAATTCTTTCTGAGGCCTATGGTCGTGCCCATTAGAGGGCTGAATGGCCTACATTCATCATATTAACGAGACTTTTTTTACCATGTTACTAGATGACTCTTGAGCTGACGTATTCGGAAGTCATCGACAAGAGGGATAGTGCCTTTTTATGAATAGCAGATGAGTGCTTGCGAAGATTTTGTTATTGATTGTTTTTATTGCTATTGGAATACAACAACCTGCTTGGGGAGGGGAGGGGGGGGGGGGGGGGNGGGGGTGGGGGAAGAGTGTATGGGACAGCTTCAACCCCAGCTGGACACACCATCGATGGGAGGTTTTTCGCACAGGGCTGAGAGAAACGTTCGATTCGCCTTCTTCCAAAAGTTGAATTGTGTGAAACCGTGTCCCAAACAGTGACCATACTTCTACGTTTTAAAGGTTTAATGAGCCGATTACAACTGCGGGATCTCGGGTTTGATTCCGTGGTTTCTAGGAGATTTGCTTACAAATCGAATGACAAGGGATTGGCCGTGCACCTTCACTGCCAGTTCTGAATGCATGGAACGGTCCTTAAAAAGTGATTCTTATCTTTAAAACCGATTATAGGGAGATTTTCGACTGATGATACAGGGAAGTTGTCATAGAATGCTAAGTACGTAGTCGTTCGATGGCTGAACTGTCACTTTCGGCTGTATCAATAAAAAGAGATTAGGAGCTCAAAAAAAACTTCCACGTCGAAGCAGCTTTTTAAGCAAATTACAGACTTTGAGAAGACATACATAGGGCAGAAGAAGGGCTTGTGACAAAAAAAGGTGCTGGAGGCTTTTGACTATTTTCACTTTTTCGCCTATGGCTTACTTTTGTTGGATGCTCCCGGGTTTGCCTTCCACGTACCTCAGGCCCTTATTATTCACGTCCCTCCACCTCACTCTGGGGGATCCTTAGGGTCGCTCGTTCTGAATGCCGGCGTTTGTGCTGCTCTTATCGGCCGATTCAGCTCTTGCTCTGCTCGGCTCGTGACCAACACCGAAGTTCCATACAAATAGGGATGTTTACAAGATTGCCCTGGCGTTATCATTGTTGACTCCGATCTGAGGGTTCAAAGAAATTTATTGAATTTTCGTGAACACTTCAAAGCAAGTACTTCTATTTTACGATTTTCAATGGATTTCAGGCGGCTGCCACCAACCTGCAGAATGCCATCGACGAAGATGTCAATCCATGTGACGATTTCTATAAATTCTCATGCGGCAAGGTAAGTTTATAATACATTTCAATAATCCTAATATGAGAATTTCGAGCTTTCATCCCAGTCGTTCATCCCCTATCAGATTCTCAAAGCAACAGCATGTTCGTTTCTTACAAGTGTCCACACCACTATTTACCTGAAATATTTCTTAATTGTGCGAAACCAAATCGTGGTTGCTCTGAATTGTTGAGAGGATGGTCTGGGCTATATAAGCCCTTGCGGTTCTACAAAGTAAAGGATTAAGCCCAACGAAGGGAGAAGCATTGAGTTTGTGTAATGCTGATCTCGCTCAGAAATTGGAGATGGGGTTGAGGACACTGGAACTACCCCTTTTACTCTTCTGTTAAATCCTTTTTGATGCCAGTTGTTTAATCCTTTCGTCAAAAAGTTCGAGCACGACCAATCCAATTGCATAAGGAACAATATCTGAAATTGTATCGAATTATAATTGTATTGTATTGTGTGGTATTCACACCTAGACAAAGTTACAATTTGGACAATTTCAGTACATAAGCCATACCCAAGAAGGGGTTTCGACGTTACATCAAGCTCAACTGAATGTCAACAAGGAGATTGTCAAGATTCTTAAGAATGTTGATGTAAACGATGAAAATAAATGGTCAGCTACTGAGAGAATAACCAAAGCAGTGAGTTCTACTTCAAGCTGATAACTAACCTCCTCGAACACTTTCCTTTCACGATCCCACCCTTCTGCGGGCAAACAGAATAGGCTTGGCAGAAAGGCACCCTGTCTCACACTTTTGTAAGGTAACAATATCGAATAGCACCTTCTTTTCTTCTCGGAAGCAAATTCGCCTCCTAGCTTTGAAGGAAGGACTTTCTAAAATGGTGTCCCGGTAGTAGA